ATACTTACATATTTATGTTTTAAATAGTGAAACTCAAAGATGCTTTACATAAGCAAAACAAACAAACAAACAAAAAAATGCAAACTTAGCTAAAAATAACAAAAACATTATTGGAGAAGTGAAACAAGTGAGTTTTTAACTGTTTCTTTACCGCAGCGCCCCCTCCTGGTGGATCTGGGGAGAAAGTATCTGAAACTGAAGCCCAAAACACTTCAGCCTAGTCCTGCCCTACTCCAAGCTCCTCACCATATCTCCAAAAACTCTCCATTAGAACAGCCATCAGCCAAAAGTTAAAAAAAGAAAACGTATTATTCAGTGAAGGCACTAACAGGGTGATTATATGTAGAAAGGGGCTCCATGGCGGGGTCAGTTCAAAGAGCAGTCGTGTGAATAGTGTGATTGTAGTTATCAGACTTGAGAGAGGGGCTTCTTGCATAATCAGTGTTGTGCAGTAATTAAAGGTTACATAATGTTGTGACTCAAACAGTGTTGATGTGAGGCTCTGAGCACGCACAGCTCCCAGTCTGATCTGAGGCCCACGAGAGTCTGCAAAAGAATGGACGAAAACAAAACAAAACAAAAAAAAAATCTGGGAAATTACTTCTCAAGACAAAATATATGAGCAACTGTCTGCACGTAACCTCTGACCTATTATTTAAAGGTGCACTATGTAACTTTACCGTGGAGGGTCCATCAATGTAACAGATAATGCTCCCTACAATTGCAACAGATAATGCTCCCTACAACCGTACAACTCACTTTTATGTAACAGATAATAATCCCTACAACTGTTCAACAACTCACCCTTATGTAACAGATAATACTCCCTACAACTGTTCAACAACTCACCCTTATATAACAGATAATACTCCCTACAACTACAACAGATAATACTCCCTACAACTGTACAACAACTCACCCTTATGTAACAGATAATACTCCCTACAACTACAAAGATAATACTCCCTACAGTTGTACAACATGTCACTCTTATGTAACAGATAATACTCCCTACAACTACAAAGATAATACTCCCTACAGTTGTACAACATGTCACTCTTATGTAACAGATAATACTCCCTACAACTGTTCAACAACTCACCCTTATATAACAGATAATACTCCCTACAACTACAACAGATAATACTCCCTACAACTGTACAACAACTCACCCTTATGTAACAGATAATACTCCCTACAACTACAAAGATAATACTCCCTACAGTTGTACAACATGTCACTCTTATGTAACAGATAATACTCCCTACAACTACAAAGATAATACTCCCTACAGTTGTACAACATGTCACTCTTATGTAACAGATAATACTCCCAACAACTGTACAACAATTTTACTTGATTTCACTGATGAACTTTTTTAGCTGACGTAATCTTAACTTGGCTACATTTTAGTTTTTGCAGTGCAGCCTCTTGTTATTTTTGCTATTTATTTTTGGATGTATTATTACCTTTTATATTTTTTCTCTTTATTATTATATTATATTGTGATGTTTGAGCTGCTGTGTCCAAATCATTTCCCTCGTGGATCTTGTGGGAGTTCTGCTTCACCGTAATGTCAAGAGGTTTTAAAGTCTTACCCCAGTCTCTCCTCCTGGGCACAGGTGGTCAGGTGCCAGTTTTAAATGGGCCTCTCTCCTTAAACCCTGTGAACTGTCTCTGGTTTCAGCGTAGGGTCAGTTTTTGTCCAGATCTGGCTTTATTTCAATGGACTCAGATAGATGTGCTCTTAGCTGCATTCACTTGGGTTCATTCAGACGCCACAATCAAGACTCTGTTGGATCAGAACATCTCAGTGGGTGAAAGGCTCTTCTCATTGTTTCTTATCTCCTCTTTCTTCCCGTTTAATTGTGAAACTTAAAGATGTCTAATGTCTAATGTATCCGCGATAACCTTATCTCTGAATGATCTCATTACAGAGTCTCCAGTACAGGTCTACACTCACATCTATAGGATTTGCCTTTTAACGGTCTAACCTGGCTCACGGCGGTTTGATAAACTTTACTGATCCACAAGGGAAATGATTTGGACAAAGCAGCTCACACATCATAACATATAATAATAACAATGAGCAACAATATAATATACAATGATAGTAATCAATTCACAATAAGTATGAAAAATAGAGACTGGTATGTTGTGTGTGTATATATATATATATATATATATATATATATATATATATATATATATATATATATATATTATATATATATATATATATATATATATATATATATATATATATATATATATATAAATCCATTTCCGAAACCCAATGAGTTTTTTGGAATAGCAGATATGGGCAGTAGGGTGCATCATTTTTCCATCACATGTATAATTCTATGTATGTATGATGTTTTTCTCTGTATTTGGTGGGAGTAAAAGTATCTTAGTTTCCCATCAGCTAAGCGTCGGTTTGTGTCAGTTTGTGGGGGGAGTTACAGGAAGTAGCACCGAGTTTGATGTGACACACGCACACTGAATGTAGTGAAAAAATTGTGTGAGATATCTCAAAACATGATTTCAGCTTCTTCAGAATATCCCCCCTTTGCTTTGATCACTACTTTGTGCAATACAAATGAACACTGACAGATGTGATGTGAAAACCATTTCAGGAGAATTAATCATGAAGCTCACTGAGAGAAGGCCAAGGGTTTGCAGTGCTGTAAACAAAGCAAAGGTGGAGGATTTAAGGATTTTTAGGTGGAGGAAAATATAGAACTTATTTTACCTGAGATAAAACATTTGATGCTTCGATCATCGATTCTGCTGATTGGTTAATCTACCTGTCAATCACACCCTCTGAAATCAGGGAGACAGGATATGGTTCAACACCTACACATTTGTGAAGTTTTGTCCAAGTGTGTGGTTGTTCCAGTACGATTCTTAGTTTCTAAACTCGTAAATCTTATAGGCTGTAAATACTGGGCCTTTACTGCCACAAATTTGTCATGTCTGTTGGTATGAAAAAAACCAAAAAAACAAAACAAAACAGGAACAAACAGAAACCAAGCCAAAACAAGAACAGAGCTGATGGTGTGAAATAGTGTCTCTCACATGTCCCTGGTCAAAATCATCCTCTTATTGGTGACATTTGATATCGGACAGAAAACAACTGACTCATCTACCTGTGTGGAGAGGAAAAGCCGTGGTAGAAACCAGAATCACCAGAAACCCCAGAAGCAGATGTAGGGGCTTTTGGCTATGTTGTTAGTTTTACACATTCTCGTGACTCGTGTGGTGGAGCTGATGAATTTACATGTTTATTTTTATAGTCTTACAAAAGTCATGGGTTACAGCTGTAAGTCTGTTTCTGTGTATTTGCTGGGGTAGTACCTGTGGAAATTATTGATCATAGTTTTACATAGGTCAAGTGAAAAAACATTCTTTTTTCTTTCTGTCTGTACCTAAAATGTATAAAAGAGTAAAGATAAAGAATGAACATTTTGACTTTTGACGCTTTTATTTTTTTCAAATGATTAAGTAGTTTTAATATAGTCCTAATGAGTATTCATATCTGAGTTGATTTTGACAACACTGTTGAATAAATGACAAATGTTATTAAAACTATTGCCTGGGATCCAGAATACACCATTCTTTAATAGTTTACAAAGATATGAGTCTAATCACTGGTGAATCTCCCCATTTTGACAGATTGACAGATGGATTAGCCAATCAGGGACAGGCGTGGTCCATCAGTATCAACACAAATATGACTGCTCACAAGGAAAAAAGAAAGAGGACTAAAAAACATGAGAATCAATGAGCGAAGCACTAAACGCTTAATCTGAGATGAGAGAAGTTTGCTTTTATTTGTAAATCATAGATGACCAGTGAGCTTTGTTTCACATGCGTCTCTGAAAATAAACTTATCTGACTGGACAGCCATGTTTGGTTCAAGACACAACGGAGAGAGTGGGGACCACACCAAGCTCGGGGTCTCAAAATTGCTGCCCATCCAAGTCAATGGGCCGAGCTCAATCGCTCATGACACCAGATTAGCCTTTCTTTTTTGGTGGCTGTGGGCCGATTGAGCATGTGCAGTAGTGTGTTTTCTCCCACAGGCACACGGGAATTTACAATGTGCTTGGACATGATCGTCATCATATCATGTGTATCATATGATCTCTGATAAATATGATAAAGTGTTTTTTTTAAGACAAATGAAGGATTTTGAGCTGGGAAGAAGTTTATGATCTAAAAAAAGGTAAAAATCGCCACAAAATCCAACATTTTAGTAAGTTGTAGGTGTCCTGTCAGCTGAACACGAGACGTTTGTGATTATATTGCGCTCTATGAGAAACATCCTTTCTCGGTCCAGGGGATTTTTCCTCAGAAATAACAGTGAGATAGCCGGGTTAGCGCCATCTAATGCTCAAATTCATTTCTCTCCAGCAACTAGGTCAGGAATTGGAATACACTAGACGGTTAGCAAGAACGCCGGAAGTAGAAGTTCGTGCACCAGCCAATCAGTGAAGAGCCATACATTCTGTGTTGGCAACGATTCCCGAGATCAAGGATTTAAAGCCAGAACAAAGAGAATGTTTGGTAAATTTTATCAAGGGGAAAGTTACTGCCCTTCTTCCTACGGGATTTGGGAAAAGTGTAATATACCAGTTAGCCCCGTTAGCAGCGCATTACATACATCACAACCAAATAGCAGAGATTGGCTATATTTAAAAAAAATTCCCACCTACTGTTGAGCTTACAAATCCTAATGCTGCAAGGTCAGACGGTTTCCACAAAGTGAAACCGGCTGATGAATCAGGCTACCAGTGAGGGGCCACTATGTCAACTGGAGGCAGCTACAAACAGCATTAGCCTATCCAGGTATTTTAATAGATCCATGGACCAGACTGATATTCCTCTGTATGGTTTATACAGGATATCAGTCTTTATATGCCAGGCAATTAAAACTATTATAAACAAGATTTGTATACATTAAATTTAATATTATGTCTTCCTGTTTCCTTGTGTAGATGACGTCGTCCACGCCCTCCTCATCTCGTAGCTCCTCCCCCAACAAAGTGTGCCACTCCCAGACACAGACCGATGTCCTCAAGCCTCTGCTGGGCGGGGCCATCGCGGGAGTGGGCGGAGCGCTCAGAAAAAGGAGGCGTGTCATGTCCAAAGATGGACGCAGCAACATTCGCATTGAGCATGTGAGCGGCCGCAGCGCCCTCTACCTGCGGGACCTGTGGACGACCTTCGTGGACATGCAGTGGAGATATAAGTTCTTCCTGTTTACAGCCACGTTCGCTGGGACCTGGTTTGTGTTCGGGGTGCTGTGGTACCTGGTCGCTCTGGTGCACGGAGATCTGCTCGGTAATGGTCACATTTTTATACAGAGCTTTTCCACCTTCAATGCACTCAAACGATTTACAATAAGGAACCACACACCCATACACACACACGCACACACAGACACACACACACATTCACAAGTGCACACAGACAACAGAGATTACAATGGTAGAGTGGCAGAGTAGCTCCCCCCCTTCCCTCGTCAAACCACAGTCATCCACAAGTGCTCTGTATTATTATGTGACCTCTGCTCCTCATGTTTTTATATTTTACCTTATTCCTTTTCAGCCCTGCCCCCTTTTACCTCTAAATGCTCCACAAGGTGCTTTCCCATTCATTTCAGTGGAGAATTTGAGAAAACTAAATTATGATATAAATTAGGCTGATTTGTGTAAAATGTTCAAAATCCATGTGACCAACAAGTCACATAGCACATAGCACGATTCTCTAGGAGGCTTTAAAATGGCTTTGTGATGTGTATAGAACCAATTTAGTACAAAATAACACAACTCGAAAACAGCGCTGTCATCCATGACAACTTCCGAAATAAGATGAATAATATTACTGTGCTGTTCCCTTGGTGTTGTGGCAGAGTTCGACCCCCCGTCCAACCACACCCCGTGCGTGATGCAGATGCAGTCTCTGACCGGAGCCTTCCTCTTCTCTCTGGAGTCTCAGACCACCATCGGATACGGCTTCAGGTGCATCACAGAGGAGTGTCCGGCCGCCATCATCCTTCTCATTGTGCAGCTCGTCATCACCATGCTCATGGAGATCTTCATCACTGGAACCTTCCTTGCCAAGGTACGCAAGGTTTATTTAGAGCAGCGGGACTCATCTTCAGATCTTGAGCTAGTCTTGGTCAGGACCTTAGCTGGAGGATTTGACCTATTATTTTGGATTGATGGATTAAACCCACCCAGACACAGGGAGAACATGTAAACTCCACAAGGAAAGGCTGGTGGCCCGACGGGGAGTCAACCTTCTTGCTGTGAAATGTGAGTGCACCTCTCAGCCATGGTGCTGTCTAGTGCAGTCACTTTAAGTAATACAAATCTGATGAATGTTTTGTTGGTGTTTCAAACACAAGCAGGACTATTCTGAGCTATCAATCATGACCACCGGAACCTGAACAGAGACATGATCCTGTGTACAGGCTGTATGTCAGCAAAGTGCATATCCACAACTGTGGCTGAGTGTTTAGCACTCCCACCTCACAGCAAAAAGGGTCCAATAAATCCTATTTTATTATATGACCAGACAGAATATCATGTTAGCATATTTATAGTATTCCCAAAGGTATTGTTCGTGTTCCAGGTGGCCCGTCCGAAGAAGCGTGGGGAAACAGTGAAGTTCAGTCAGCACGCTGTGGTGTCCTCTCACGACGGAGTGCCCTGCCTCATGATCCGAGTGGCCAACATGCGCAAGAGTCTGCTCATCGGCTGCCAGGTCAGAAACACATATAAGATTTCAGACATAAGATCATGCTACTGCAAGGGATGGTTAGAAATGGTTAGAAATACCCCTTAAATGAGATACAAGTTAAGAACAACTGTGAATGCACCCTGCAGAGTGTAAACTTCAGGAGGCATCAGAGCGCTCATTTAACACACTGCTATGCAGGTGACGGGTAAGCTGCTCCAAACCTCCCTGACCAAAGAGGGAGAGACGGTGCGCTTGGACCAGAGGAACGTGCCCTTCAGTGTGGACACATCCAGCGACAGCCCCTTCCTCATCCTCCCCCTCACCTTCTACCATGTGATCGATGACACTAGTCCACTCCGAGCCTGGGCCAACAAGGGTGAGCCACACAAATGTGATATACTGTACATGAAATTCACATCTTAAAGAGGGGGTATTATGCAGAATTGACATTTTGGAGCTCTCTATCATGTTATAACAATGTTATTTTATTAAAAACTCACCTGATGATCTTTTAGATGCCATCATCATGTTTGAGTAATTTAACGATTTCTCCTGGGCCCTATTTGATCCCCTCTTATAGCTGCAGTAAGATTCTGTCCAAACCTCCGCCCACAAGCCTATGTCACCCAGGCTCCAAGCGACAATTCTCCATAAATATACAAAAACATGAAACAAAATTGTACTCAGCAACATGACAGGCCTGATGTGATGTGCAGTAGTATTTGTTAGGGCCTGTGTGTAATTGGCTAATACCACATACACACAGAAATTCACCCTCACAGGCATCTGTGCAGACACCTTTCCCAGGGCCTCTGGGGCACTGTCTAAATAAAAAGTAAACGTTTTTCTGTTGCTTCTTTTCTGCCCTGTCTGAAGAGGAAATGTGGATTTATGAAGTGAGAGGTTTGTAGCTGCGACACACTAGCACAGTTTCTCGTATCTCCATTGGAGTCAGTGTAAAAGGATGGTGTAAGTCCAGGGCACTTGAAATCAAATCAAACTTTATTTATAAGCCACTTTTCATACAAAACTGTAACACAAAGTGCTTTACGGTGATTAATCCCACATTTCCGTCCACCCACCCACCAACCCAATACCCACACCTGCCAGACCCCACACAACCAGACAACCCAAATGCGCACACACGCACTCATACACACACACAAACACAGACAAACACGGTAAAATACATAAAACAACACATAGTAAGATGTGAGGCTGAATACAGGCGAACCAGTTGAGAAAGCACCATCAGAGGAGCCGTCTACATCAGGAGCAGAGACGTCTACCACCACCAGGAACCACCACAGGGTCCAGGGGAGAGATGAAGCCTAAACACCATCTCTCCACCAGGAGCCCAAGGGACAGACCCAGCGGCCACAGCCGACCTCCGCTCCTGATGCAGAGGCTCCTACAGAGGAAACACTGGAAATCCTAAAAATATGCCTAAAATAAATAAATATAATAAAATATATACACAAGAAACAAGTAAAAGTATAAGATTTCAATCAAAAGCTAAACTAAAAAGGTGGGTCTTGAGTCTGCTCTTAAAAACATGAACGTTCTCTGCAGCCCTGACCCACTTAACTCTACATTCACACATACAAGCCAACATGCTCACTGTGCCTCATATGTACCTCTGGGATAATTTAATGAAATAACATGCACTCAAAAGAAACATGAATACTGCATTTAAAACCAAATATTACATTTATTAAAGATGCGTTCTTGCAAAGCTCGGCCACTTCGCCCCATGTATCACCACCAACAGATCCTTAACACCAGCAACTCCTGTGGATATCTGCACATCACGCTACCAAGTAACGTGACATTTGTACCAAAATGAGAACACTACGCTGCAGAATGCTGCATGTTTCACAATAAAACTGTAGAACGAAGTGCGTACAGAGCAGTGGGCCTGTACTGGTGGCGGTGAACACAGGGCTTGACTGTATGGGGTCCTAAATATAAGTAATTAAAGATTACTCAAATATACACAAATCACTCCTAATGCAACTTCCAGAGGGTAAATGAGAAGGGGAAACAACTATAACATGGTTAAAAGCTCTGAAAAGTTGATTT